ACATGTTACATGTCAGACACATATGTTTGAATATTTGTGATTCTTCCTTGATTATTTGTTGTGTTAGGTGTTTGATGCAGTCATTGGAGACATTTCCATAGTAACAAACCGGTCAAGACATGTTGAGTTTACCCAGCCTTTTGTTGATTCTGGGCTTGTCATTGTGGCTCCCATAAAAAACATGAAACCAGGTGCTTGGGTCTTTCTCCAGCCATTCACAGTGGAGATGTGGTCCATGACAGGAGCTTTTTTTGTCATAATTGGTCTTGTTATTTGGTTTCTTGAGCATAGGCTGAACAACAATTTTTGAGGCCGTCCAAGGAAGCAGATCATTACAATCTGTGTGTAATCCTGGCTGATGCTTTAATGAATGCTATTTACTTTCTTTAACTACCATTAAGAGGTTGGTTACATCGGCTTATTGGTTGACAACTATGTTCCATGGACTCAAATATGAGTATCCGGTGTGGGCGTGTGTCCAAGCGTCAAACCTTCATAAACCCAATTTTTGGGATATTATTTGAAATTGCGGAACCCCTAACTAGGATCTTGATGAGACATGAAAACAGAAAATAGATAAATAAACAAGAATTGTAAATAACACACAAGAACTTAAGATTTACATGGTTCACCCCAAAACTAGGGCTATGTCCACCTTTAGAAAGAGTTATGAGCAAAATACAAAAATACCCTTACTCCGTGGTCAGGTGGTTAGTGTCTAGTATTGATCAGGATCCACACTACCCAATAATTAGAATATATATATCCAAAAGTTGGATATGAGTATGGAGACTCATCATGGACATTTATATATATTGTGTATTGCATAATATTCTTAGTTCAGATTTTGTAAATTATATAGAAATATACTTGAGATTAAATAGTTTTTTTTTAAAAAAAATGAAATTTCTGTCTCTCACCCATGTGATGGGCTAGAAATGTTTCTTTACTAGCAAATCTAAGAATCTAAATGGGTATGGAATGTGGGATATCTCACATTCTTACACTTGTTATATTTGATGGACACAGATACTTTGGGAAAAAGTAGAAGAGTGCATGTAACATGGGTTGACAATGCTACAATATGCAATTCATGAGTTTGTGCCTAGTGGGATTTTATTACTTGACTTCACATTGAGCAATTTTGTCTCACAGGTTTGGCTTCTCAACACTGTTCAGGGTAAACAGTAAGAACTTTTGTTCCCTACATACTCGCATATGAATGCCTAATCTTCAATAGCATTTCTTTGCTCTAAATTCTTTCTTGTTCATCTTTTAAATTTACAGAACAAGATATAGTGAGTGCATTGGGACGCATGGTGGTTATAGTGTGGCTATTTGTCTTGATGATGATTAAAGCAGGCTACATTGCGAGCTTGACTTCAATTCTGACAGTTCAAGAACTATCATCTCCATCCATTACTGGAATTGAGGACTTGATTTCAAGCACTTGGCCTATTGGGTACCAAGTAGGGTCATTTGCTGCCAGTTTTCTGACCGAGAATTTTGACATACATCGGTCAAGACTAGTTTCGCTTGGTTCTCCAGAAGAATATGAAAGAGCTTTGCGGAAAGGGCCAAGAAATGGAGGTGTGGCTGCTATAGTTGATGAGCTCCCTTATATGGAGTTGTTTCTGTCGAAGCAGAGTGATTATGGGATTGTTGGACACTCCCTAACCCAAACTGGATGGGGATTTGTAAGTAAATTTGTTAGACATGTAAATTCTGCATCAATAACTATGTTCTTAAATATCTATTATTGATTTCTGAAAAAATTAATGCATAATATGAAGCATGGATACCTCTCCAATGGTCACATATAATGTATTAGTGTCCAACACAGACAAGCGTCGTGCTCGTGCATGCTGGAGGAACTGTCCTGCTTTTTCTTTTTTCCAGTCAGACACATTGGGGACATGCAGTTTCCCATTTAAACAAATAAACTAATAAAATTCATCAGAATGGTATGCCGAAGGTTGACGTATTTGATGAGAATAAATATATAATATTCAAATATATGACATATAAAAATATATATGCTGCGCATGTTCCTCCCGTGTTTTGTCCTATATTTTTTTGAAAATTTGCATGTCTGGTTCATATTCTGTGTCATGTCATCCTTGTCCGTTCTTCTTAGATTATCTCTTGATACATAGGTTGATGTAGCAAGGGTCTTGCAATATATATGTTGTTGCGCCCTTTATGCTAATTAATTTTGAGCTGCAAAAGGGTATTATTGTGGCCTTGATGCCCATCACAAGCAGCCATTTGCTATCTTCTCTTCTTTCATTATAGTAGAACTGGTGTGTCATACCGAACCACCAAAATCTGTGTGTCGTGCTTTCTTGTTATTGATTGATTCTTCTTGCTATTGTATGTGTGGTTTATTTCGCAACATATTTTTCATCAATTTGTCATGAATTTGTTTCTCCCCATATGTGTCAGGCTTTCCAGAAGACTTCTCCCCTTGCCATTGACGTGTCTACTGCAATTCTGAAACTTTCCTAGAATGGAAAACTCGAGAAGATCCACAACAAATTCTTCTGTAAGACAGGTTGCTTTGCAAAGAAGGCACACCAATCCGAGCCTAACGAACTCCCTCTCAGCAGCTTCTGGGGCCTCTTCATTTTGTGTGGCATTTTCGCTCTCCTTGCTGGTCTAATATATTTAGTGCAAACATTTTTTCAGTTTGTGCAACACAAGCGCAAACACGTGAATCCGTCTTCAGCTTCTTCTTCATTATCATCTGAATCGTTCAGTGCACGTTGTTCTCACTTTGTGTCTGGCTATTTTGATTTCCTCAACAAGAAAAAAGATACTGTAAAGAAAATTTCCGAGCATAGCAATAATCATCAATCCCAAGCAAGTTGCTCATCAGCATAAAATTGTTCAGTGGTTGCAGTCAGATGGTACAGTACAACTATAGAAAGCGTTCATATCACATAGTACACGTGTAACGCTCGTATAATGTTCTTACAGGCTTGTTACTATCTTTGTGCAATGATGCATTGTACATATTTGATATTTCTACCCTCTTGTCTGTAACAGTAGCAAGGGAGATAGAGAGGTGTGGTTTAATAGAAACCACGGCCATAGATAGAGTGAAACAGTGAAGAAGATTGATGCAATGTGGTGATGTACACCAAATAGTAGGAGGCTTTGTTGAGTTGTAATGTAGGGTCCCTGGGAAACATGTCAATATCACAGTAGAGATACAAGATGGAATGTGTTCATGTATAGAATGACTTTATGTAGCTTAGCTAATCAATTTACTGTTGACTGTATTTTCATTTTATTCTGAAAAATGATTCTCCTGATTAAAGGTTCCAAATGCTCAATGTTTTTTTTTACTAGTGTATTTTATAACTGGGTGTCTGGATCAGTTTACGTGCACTTTGACTAATCTTAAAACCCTGAAGTTAACGATTAGACAAACCTCTAGCGGTCCCTTGAGATGACTCGAACTTAAGACCTTAAATTTTATCTTCAAGTCTTTACCGCTTAACCATCCCCTTAATTTCCATAAAGGAAAATGTGATGCACCCAAAAAAAAAGTATTACGAAAAGTGTGACGTGTGCCATACTCAGAATGAATCTCGTTGACACAATTGTTAATTGGATGATTCTGAACTTGTTTATTCAATTGGATGCTGGTTCTCAATCGTGTTTGGATACTCTGTTTTCTGGAAGCAGGGGATCACTTATATATTTGTTTATTTATTTTATTCCGATATTCTTGGACTTCATTTTGAATGAGGCTTAAATTATTTATAATATAGAAGTCACATTTATTGACTTTTTGTGGATATATTAGTCATTCATTACTGTCATGTACACACACAAATACTCTTAGTAGAAATTAACTGAACTTTTTAAGGTATCTTTTCTTTTCGATATTGGTGGTTTTTTAGGTCTATAAAACTGTGATACTTCTTCCTCTTTGATTGTGTTTTTGTTTTATGTTTTCTGTTTACATTTCTCAGAAAACACATAACCAATTTGTGTTTGAAAAAAATTTGTTTGGTGAACCGTGTTCGGAAAAAAATTCTACAAAACACTCGCTTTTGTAGGAAATATACCTGTCGCAACTCTCTCAAATGGGTGTAGACCATGTGAGAAGATTGTATCCGATTTCGTGATTGATTTTTGTATATATAAAAAAAACTAACAGTACATATAATATATAAACACAATTGTTATAGCAATAATCACATCTCTATCTCATATATTCATTAATCAGTAGCTAATCATATTTATTATGTACACGTCACTGAATCTAAAAAGTGAATTATATGAATAACAATATATACCATGGAGACTTGTTGAACAATGGCAAGATTGAAACATTTGGTTTCAATCAGTATTTGCCAACTTGCAATCACAATATAAACAAACAAAGAGCACTATTTTAGCACTATATGGATGCATGGTGCTCAATGAGCCTCTCAATCTATAATGTCCCATTTATGTCAAGAACCAAAGTTAGGTATGGGCTTTCAAAACCTTCTCTAAGCTTTCAGTCTTTTCACTCCCCTAATATTTTGTTAACATAGTGACCTCTCACTAACTAATAATATTCATAATCACCCAACTGTAGCTTTCTTCAAATACTCAAATTTATATCTTGTGGGCTGATTTACAAGTAAAGTTTAACATGAATGGTACAAGTATTTTGGAGTCATACACAAATCCAAAAATTATGTATCCCAAAATAAAATGTAAGGTTTAGATTCAAATATATAGTATGGTATCATTCATAATAAATTTGATTTTTATACATTTGATTTTTAAGATAATTATCGAGTTGTTTTTCATGATCAATAGAAAATAAGTTTAATTGGACATAACATATTTTTTACTTTTTCTTTATTTATCGGGATGCACACATAAACAATGTCACATGATACTCTCAAACTACTTAAATATATATATATATATATATAGAAAAATTCTAAGGCAACAAAAATCATATGAAATAATTGTGTCTAATTCTATAATCCTATACAGTGTAAGTAGAAAAACTATTTTCTCTTTCTCTTAACCAATTACTTGGGTTGGTGTATATAAGCTCTAATATATTACCTGGTGAGTGGCACAGACTCTTCTTCAATACAAAAAATCCTTGAAAAGGTTCCAACTTCTACTTTTTCTCTGAAAATTCTACCCCATTTTCTCCCCCATCAAGAAAGCCATGGTGTCTTGGGTCCCCGATGAGACCGGCCTCAAGCCATGGCAGCAAGAGGTGGCCGGAGGAGAGTATTTCAATTACTCGGGGGCTGTGGCTGCGGGCGGTGGTCCTCGGTGGCAATGAAGGGATAGTAGCAGCTGCATTCTTGGTCATGGGAGTAGGAACTTTCGTGCATGATATGAAGTCTCTCATCATTGCCGGACTCGTCGGAATAGTTGCCGGAGCTTTAAGCACGGCAGTGGCAGAGTTTGCTTCAGTCTGTACTCAGGTTTTTATCTATCTATTCTAGTACTATATAATGTGGGCATCCAATTGGTGTATGAAAACTAAAATTTTACATGAACCCATGATTCAAACAATAATGTTAGACATTATGAAATGTCCTTATGAAAATTCTTCACTCTTAGATTAGTTTATAATATTTTATTACATGTTATGCAATTATCTTTTAATAAGTTTTATGAAACCTTTCATAGCATTAATTCAAAAATTGTTTTAGTTTTTAAATTAAAAAAAACTCTTTTAGTTTTCACTTTTGAATTCAATTGATCTCTTCAAAATCTTATTCATGAGAAGAAAATGATCTTTGCATACTCCTTGTATTGTGTGTGCCATCACTTTTAATACTTGTAATATTTAATAAAGAAAAATAAAAAGGAAAACTTTCTATAGTATATAAGTAATATTCATTTAGCATGGAGACAAGAGAGATTTTGGTTCAACATGTTGAAGTGTTATCCGCTAAGGACCATTGATGATTTGAATTATTAATTTTGTATTGACTTTTGAAAAAATAATCCATATAAAAACTCATGTTGATTAGATAATCGTAAATCTACGATGATATATCACATTTTTCTTACAAAAATTGACCGTTCATATATACAGAATGAGAGGAGCACACACTCATTCGAAAGACAGATTGCATAAAATCGCCTTAATGACAACATTCGCGTCTCAAATTTTTGTTTCCTTCATTCCATATCAATTTCTCATGCAGGTTGATACAGTGAAGGCACAAGAAGATAGAGATACAAGAATGGGGAGAGAAGGTTTAGCCGAAAGAGTGGTGGTCCCGAGTCCAACTCAGGTGGCTGTGGCGGCTTCACTGGCGTACATGATCAAGAATTTCTTGCTAAAATTTAATGTACTTGATGAACTAAAAATGAAGTAAGAAATATGTTATACATAAATAATTTCTGTATTTGAGTTTTTCTACTATTAGACACCGATGTATATATTCTACCTAAATTATTAACGTGAATTCTTCTGTCTTTGTGTCTAGTATTAAGAAATGTAATTATTTATTTATTTTAATGTATAACATATTACCCGTTTAGTAATTGTAAAAATGTTAATAAGAGCCAACATTTGGTGGACGAGATCCTTTGTCAAAATGTCTCAATAATATTTATAATTGTTAGTTTATGTTAATTATTCTTGTTGTTGGCTTGGATTTGAGTAAGTATCCTGCTGTGGTGGAAGTTCTAGTTTGGACCAAGTCACAATCGACCATGGCTTTATTAATGACAGTAGCTTTTGGTATAATAAAAAAGTATTTATCCAACACTTGATTTTGAAATTTTTATATGATTCAGTTTAGCACAAATGACTTTTTCTTAATTACTTAGTATAAGACTACAGTTGAAATTGACTTAAGCAATATTTATAAGGGCACTGTTTCCTATTTTTATACTTATGTTCTTATTTGTAGACATGAGACAATTAAGAGGTTTTAATCTAATTGACTAGTTCTCTGATCACCAAATTTCCCTTAAAAGAAGATGTCTTGGGTTTTACTTTTAACAGTGAAATGGGCGGATAAGATTTTCTTGCAAGGTTTGTGAGTGTGAGTTTCAACTCTCTGAAATGCTAATTTAACAATTAACTACTAACTTTCGCCGACAACAAAAAAATGTACATAAGACCTACTCGCTTAAAAATAAAAAGGAAAATATCTCGTAGCTCAAATTTTGTGGCTCAAAAGTGGCTCAAATGGTCAAAACGACGTTGTTTTGGCTATTTTTATATTGTTCTGTATTCAAAACGACGTCGTTTTGGCCATTTGAGCCACTTTTGAGCCACAAAATTTGAGCTACGAGATATTTTCCTTTTTATTTTTAAGCGAGTAGGTCTTATGTACATTTTTTTGTTGTCGGCGAAAGTTAGTAGTTAATTGTTAAATTAGCATTTCAGAGAGTTGAAACTCACACTCACAAACCTTGCAAGAAAATCTTATCCGCCCATTTCACTGTTAAAAGTAAAACCCAAGACATCTTCTTTTAAGGGAAATTTGGTGATCAGAGAACTAGTCAATTAGATGTACGAGGAGGCGCTAAAAGGGGGGCTGAGGCAGGCTGCCACTGCCTCAAGTGGTGGTTGACGTGCTAAATCGCCTGGAGGTAGCGCCGGGGCAATTGATGCCCAATGCGTGGAAGATTCTGCTGGCCTGTGCGAGTGCGTGGCCTAAGGCGAATGAGGGGGAGGCCATGACGATAGACGATTTCTTCTCATGTTACAAGGCGTCGGGGCAGCAAGAAACTTGGGTCACCCTACAGGCGGTGATGGGGAGGGGGTTAGTGGCAGGGCTGCCTACGTCGATCAAGGGGTGGCGGCCACGATGGTTCTTCGTGGCAGTTAATGGGGGGATGGGGTACGCACCATCTGGAAGGTGCCAACCCGGTCGATGGAGTCGAGACTGAGGGCGGTAGCGGAAGAGAGAGTGAAGAGAGTGAAGGAGTGGAAAGAGAGAGAGAAGGCCAAATGGGACGATCTTGTCCAGCCGTCTGCACTGTTTGAGGCGGGGCTGGGACCGCAGCCGAAAGGTGGAGACCTCGGCCGGGCAGAGTTGGAGGAGAAGAAAAGAGCGCAGGAGGTAGAGGATCGAGCCGTTATGGCCAAGGCCGCGAAGTTGATGGAGGCGCAGAGGGACCGACCGCCTCAACCGATCGCGCGGGAGAGGATCCGACCGCGCCCCAGGCCGTTGGGGGAAAAAGACTTAAGCAGCTTTGAGCCGCGGCCGCCGCCTGTAGACCCTGTAAAAGAAAAGGCCAGAAAGGGGGTGGAGCCTCTGAAAAAGAAGAAGAAGAAGAGGAGTGCCCCAGAGGAAGCTGCAGAGGAGTCTGGGGCCAAGAGGGCGAAGGTGGCCCCAACGGAGGTGGAGGTCCCTGTGGCAAAGGACGCCCCAGAGGTAGTGGAGATCATCCCAACGGTGGAGGTTGTGGAGATTGCTCCACCAGTGCAAGTGGAGGCTGGGGTGAGTGAGGCGGTGCCGAGCGGAGGGGAACAGGTCCAGAAGAGGCCTGACCCCCAGGAAGGAGGGGTTCGTCTGGCTACGGCGATTTATCATGCGCGCACGGTGGCTGGAAGGTTGGAGGGAGAAGAAGGCCCAGCCAGGGCGGGGGCAGACCGTCTGGTGAAGATTGTGGAGGAGGGAGCTCTGCGCGCGGCATCTGGGTATAATGAGGCCGACCTGCTGAGGGGGTTATGCTCCGCCCAAATGGAGGTAACTACCTTGGCGGGGGCCCTTCTTAGGAAGGCTGGGGCTGCCAAGTTGAAGGCTGAGGAGGCCAGGGCCCAGTTGGCCAAATTAAAGAAGGATAGTGCCGACTGGAAGACTGCCCATGCCGATCTGCCAGCAGTCAAGTTGGAACTGGAGGACACACGCCGTAAGGTTGTGTCGCTTGAGTTCCAACTGGCTGGTGAACAGAAAAAGTTGGAAGAGGCTGAGAGGGCCTGCGCTGTGGCAATCGAGCGGCATGAAGAGGCCATGACCAGCAATGAAGAGCTGGTCAGGCAAAAGGATGAAGCGGACTTCAGAATTGGAGATCTGTTGAAGGAGTTGGGGGAGGAGCGTGCCAGAGCAGAGGAGGAGAAGGGGAGGCTTCTGAGGGAGTGGGAGATGGAGAAGGCGAAGGCGGCGGCGGAGCTGGAGAGTCTGAGGAAGGGGGTGGAAGAGGAGAGGGCGACGGCGGCTGCTGAAAGGGGGGCCCTGCAAAGGGAGCTGGACGAGGAGAGGGCGAAGGCGGCGTCTGAAAAGGCGGCCTACCCTGATCTATGCGTCGCAGCAGTGGAGCAATATAAAGGGTCCCCCGAATTTCAGATGGTGGTGGATGCTGCTGTCGCCAGGAGTCTGGCTGGTCAAGAGTCTGGGGGTGGGCCCATCAAGGAAGACTGCTGGAGGTAGGACAGAGGCAGAGGTGATTGAAAGGTTCCAGCAGTCAGACTTCTATAAGCACGAAATGGCCGAGTTCTGGGACAGCGGTTGGAAAATGTTCAAGCGCAGAGCTGAAGAGCTGTTCCCACACTTGGACCTTAGTAGTGTGACAATAGGCGAAGATGATGTGGCCCAGACCCCCCTGGACGAAGGCGTTGAAGAAGAGGATCTGGCATCTAGCGAGGAGGAGTAGCCAAGGAGAAGAAAAACTGGGCGTGCTCTGTGTTTGTTTGTTTGTTTTTTTTTTTTTTAACTTGTAAACACATTGTAAAGGAATGAGTGAATGAATGAAGGTATGGAGAATTGAATTGTAATGAAGTTGTGTACAAAGATTATTTAATTGTAATGGATGAATGTGTAGCTAGTTGAATTTTGTGTATTTTGCTTATGTTGCCAGCATGAATGAAATGTTGTGATTAAAACTGGTCATAAAGATTGGGTCAATAAAAATATCATGCAACGTGAAAGTTAAAAGTTCCTCCCTGCGGAGTGCGATTGGAGTTGTATGAAAATTGAAAAGATAATGGAAAAATTGGAGTAAGAGGCAGGTTGTAAATTGTAACTAAATAGTTGGCAAATAATCTGATCAGTAAATGTAATACGTGAGAGTATATGAAGAATTTAACTAGGTAAAGACGTGGTCCTGGAACTGTGAAGAAGCTTTAGAATGTGATTAAGTGTTGAAAATGTGGTTCTGCTTGGCGTTGAAGTGCTCAGTCAGGCTGAGGCTGTTGAAATGCTCGGTCTGGCTGAGGCCTTTGAAGTCCTCGGTCTGCCGAGGCTTTGAAATGCTCAGTCTGGCTGAGGCCTTTGAAGTGCTCGGTCTTCCGAGGCTTTGAAGTGCTCGGTCTGGCAGAGGCTTTTGAAGTGCTCAGTCTGGCTGAGGCTCTGAAGTGCTCGGTCTAGCCGAGGCTTTTGAAGTGCTCGGTCTGGCCGAGGCTTTGAAGTGCTCGGTCTGGCCGAGGCTTTTGAAGTGCTCGGTCTGGCTGAGGCTTTGAAGTGCTCGGTCTGGCCGAGGCTTTTGAAGTGCTCGGTTTGGCCAAGGCTTTTGAAATGCTGCAAGTGAAAAAGTTATGGGAGCGACATAGAGACAGTTGAATTATGAAAACCGAAATCACCAGGCGGAGTTTGAATTATGTATAAAAAGGGAAATACAACGATATTGTCAATACAAAAGTACGAATTATTGATAGTAACGCTTCAAATGTTCCGCATTCCAGGGATGGGGCAGGTCTCGGCCTTCCATGTCTTGAAGTCGGTAAGTGCCTGGTCGTGGTCGGGTTTTCACAACGTAGGGCCCCTCCCATTTGGCTGCCAGTTTGCCCTCGGTTGGATTCTTTGTGGCAGGAGTCACTTCTCGTAAGACAAGGTCCCCTACGGAGAACTCTCGTGGTCGGACTCGGCGGTTGTAGTGTGTTCTCATTTTCTGCTGGTATGAAACCAATCTGACAGCAGCGGTCTCTCTGAGCTCTTCGACGAGGTCCAAGTCTGTCTGATGGAGTTCTTCGGCTGCGGCCAGGTCCGGATGTAAAACCCTGGGGGTAGGCAAACCGACTTCTACCGGAATAACTGCCTCAGCGCCATATGTTAAGCGAAAAGGGGTTTCTCCAGTGGGAGTGCGAGCAGTGGTTCGGTAAGCCCAGAGTACGTTTGGTAGTTCCTCGGCCCAAAGGCCTTTAGCAGCTTCGAGCTTGGTTTTGATGATTTTCAGGAGGGAACGGTTGGTGACCTCAACTTGGCCGTTTGCTTGAGGGTGACCGGGGGAGGAGAAACATGGTTGAATCTGGAGGTCGGCACAAAATTTTCTATACTTTGCGTTATCGAATTGTTTGCCATTGTCCGAGATGATGGCCTGAAGGATGCCAAATCGACAAATGATCGATTGCCAGATAAACCTGGTGGTGTTCCCCTCGGTGATTGTGGCAAGGGGTTCAGCCTCGACCCACTTGGTAAAGTAATCAATGGCAACAATCGCGAACTTGGTCTGGCCTCGACCGGTGGGAAGTGGACCAACCAGGTCGATCCCCCACTTGGCAAACGGATAGGGGCTGTAGAGTGTGATTAGCTCTGTAGGGGGGGCATGGGGGATGTTGGCAAAGCGTTGACATTTGTCGCATTTGAGTACGAAGTCGGTCGTATCCTGATGAAGAGTGGGCCAAAAATACCCCGTACGGAGTACCTTCTGGGCAAGGGACCTGCCACCTGAGTGATTACCACAAATTCCTTCATGGATCTCCTGAATTACATAAGTTGCTTGGGCGGGGTTGAGGCACCGTAGATACGGCCGGGAGAAACCGCGCTTGTACAATATACCGTCCAGAATGACGTAATTGGACGCTCGGGATCGGACTTTGGCAGCCTGTTGCTGGTCATCTGGGAGGGCTCCTGTGGTCAAGAATAGGAGAATGTCGGATGCCCAAAGGATGGGTTCATTTTGGATGTATTGTACGGCTTGCAGAGCTGGTGAGATGGCTGGGTGGTGTAGGTATTCGACGCGGACATCATGGCTGAGAGTAGGGTGGTCAGCAGAGGCCAACTGAGCCATCTCATCTGCTTTGGAGTTTTCCCCCCGAGGAATGTGCCTGATGTGGAAAGTATTGAAGAGGCGAGCAAGGGGGAGTGCCAGATCTCTGTAAGCTCGCATCGTGTCGTCCTTGGCATCAAAGTCCCCCGTCATCTGACCGACGACGAGTTGGGAGTCGCTGGATACTCAGAGGTGGCTGACCCCTATGTCCTTGGCAAGGTGGAGTCCTGAATGCCTCGTACTTGGCTTCATTGTTGCTTGCTTCAAACAAGAAACGGAGGGCACATTTGAAGTAGCCGCCTTCAGGGGAGGTGAGGATGAGGCCAGCACCGCTTCCTTCTCTTCGGGACGAACCGTTGACGTTAAGAGTCCAAGAATGGGGATCTTCTGGCTCTGTTGGAGTTGCTAGGAGCGGGGGTGCAGTGGTCGGGGTCGGCTTGGTGAACTCCATGATGAAATCAGCTACAGCTTGCCCTTTGATTGCTGTCCGAGGGCGGTAAGAGATGTCGAACTGGCTGAGTTCTACGGACCACTGCATCAATCTACCTGAGAGTTCTAGTTGATGCATGACCTTCTTCAGGGGCTGGTCGGTGAGGACCACTATGGAGTGGGCTTGGAAGTATGGGCGGAGTCGTCTGAAAGCAATGACCAAGGCCAGGGACAGTTTTTCCAGCAGGGGGTAGTTCTGCTCCGCGCCCCTGAGAGCCCGACTGATGTAATAGACCGGGCGTTGGATTGAGCCACCTTCTCTGAGGAGAGCTACGCTGACTGCGGTTTCCGATACTGCTAGGTAGAGGAAGAGGGGTTCGCCCGTGATAGCTTGGGAGAGAAGGGGGGGTTGGCCATGCATTGCTTTAACTGTTGGAAGGCCTCTTCGGACTCAGAATCCAAATCTGAAGTCAAAGGGTCTACAAAATAC